ATACATATATATATATATATATATATATATATATATATATGAATATATATAATTTTTTTCCCCAGTACTGAGGATTGAACCCACAGGTGCTTAACCACTGAACCACATTCCCAGAGACCTTATCTTTTCTTCCTTTTTTTTTTTACTTTTGAGACAGGGTCTTGCTAACTTGCTGAGGCTGGTCTTAAATTTGTAATCCTCCTTCCTCAGTCTCCCAAATTTCTGGGATTACAGACATGTGCCACTGCACTCAGCTGCATTTCTTTAAAAAGGTCTTTTAATTGTTGTAAAACGAATTATTTCGAAATTTAAGGGTTAGCCAGGTACTGGGATACACACCTGTAATCCCAGCCACTCAAGAGACTGAAGCAGGAGGAGAAACACTCACAAGTTCCAGGCCAGCCTGAGTAAACTGAGCAAGACCCCATGTCAAGATTAAAAAAAAAAAATTAAGAGGTGCAGTGACTTGAAAGGCTGAGGGAAGAGGATTGCAAGTTCAAGACTAGCCTCGGCCAGTTAGTGAGTCCCTAAGCTACTCAGTAAGACTGTGTCTCAAAATCAAAAATAAAAAATGTGCTGGGGATACGATTCAGTGGTTAAGTGTCCCTGGGTTCAATCCCCAGGACTAAAAACAAAATAAAAAAAGAAAAAGAAATTGGGATGGGGGGAGGGGTTTCAGATTTAAGAATCGAAAATAAGAATAGAAGCTGGGAAGAGAGAAACAGAGAGGGAAAGGCCATAAGCAAATTGGGGAGGTGTCTCAAACGGCAGTGATGGCTGTCGAGTGATCCTCTGGTGACCCATTCGGGGTGCTGATGCGAAACTGGAGTGATTTTCTGGAAACGCAAAGTTCTGAACCAGGTCGCACATCTTGAGAAGAAAAATACTGGGCGTATTTCAGCACCCAGGTGACCCTGTTAGCCCAATGCCTTCGTGCAGTGAATAACTTAGACAACCACGCAGGCCTCCCTGGGACCTCTCCCCCATTCCGAGTCTCAGCGGCCACACATGTGAAATGAGGACATTGAGTGCGATAATACATGCAGCACCCACACCACTAAGCTCTCAACTGCCTTGTTCTCAGCATCTGAATTACAGATTTTAAGGAAATTGCTGTTTTATTGCTTCCAAATACATAGCGTGATTAGAACTAATTGCAGGAAGCTGCCAAGCCGCCGTCCTCGGGAGCTCTGCTTTGACAATAGATAAGAACGATTTGAATTAGCAGATCAGTTACTAGAAAATGTCAATGGGTGTTTCTACTGTGCCTGATCGTGTTTGGAAGCAGCTTGTCCTCTTAAGTGGTGTAAATATCCCCCCTGTAATCTTTGTTTATACTATTAGTGTGCCTAGCAAATCATTTCTTTTTTTCATATCACAAATCCCACCAGATTGAGTTGGCATTAATGAGGTTTTACTCTGCTTGACTCTGGAATGCTGTCAGAGACTGAGCCCTCCTGTTGTTTCCAGAGTGCTCTCCCACTGACCCCACTGCCACTGAGATTCGGGATTTGCGCGTCAATCTATATAGGAACGGAGAGCCGCAGCTTGGGACATGGGGACACTGATTTGTTCCATGGCCCAGGTATCAAGCATCTATCTGACAGCACGGGAGAGAGAAGGTTATCGAGATAACAAGACAGAGCCCCTGCCTCTGGGCAACTCCTTCACAGCATTTTGCACCCTTGTGATTATTTGCTTAGTTATTCATAATCATTTGTCAGACACTGTCTTCCTCACCAAACTACAAGCTCCACGATCTAGGCATGGGCTCACTTTCTTGCCTGACTTAAAGGCTTATCATCTCCTGTTGGCAGACCGACACATTGTAAGACAGGTGCTACAAAAAAAAAAGGGGGTGGGGGAGTTATACAACGTGCTTGGAGATGCCTAGCACCAAATCTAAAATATCAGGGGTGGCTTCACAGTCAAGGCATTCAGCAATGCATCCAAGCTGGGCTTTGAAGGATGTGTAGGAGTTTTCTGGGAGGACAAGAACAAAAAGCATCTATATGCACAGATGATCCATGCGGAAGCAGGAAAGATACAAGACAACGTGGCCTGTTTGGGAGAACTGCAAATTAAATAGTGTGGGCAGAGAGGGGCAGCAGGAGGTACAGCAAAAAGGGTGACATGAGTCATTTCATGAAGAGTTTTGGTGACTAAGGAATCAGCTTCTGTTCTGTGGGCAGTGAAATGCCAAACAAGAACAAGAGAGGCCTAGCCAGAGGAGCCACCCAACCCCACCGGAGCCCAGACCTGGAGCCCCACCCAGCCTCCCTGTAACCTGCTCTTCTGTCCTTGCCCAGATGCGGTACCCAGGCCCACGGTTCAGGTGTTCATTGCTGTAGCAGGGGATGCTGAGCCCCTCAAGACCTGCCAGGCCTTCTTGTCCTGCTGGGCCCCTAACATCAGTGACATCACCTATAGCTGGCGACGGGAGGGGACAGTGGACTTTGGTGTTGAGCCACAGAGCCTCTTCACAGACGGACAGGTGCTAAGTGTTTCTCTGGGACTAGGAGACAAGGACGTGGCCTATTCCTGCATTGTCTCCAACCCTGTGAGCTGGGACTTGGCCACAGTCACCCCCTGGGAGAGCTGCCATCACGAAGCAGGTAAGTCATGGGCCTCTGGTCAGTGGGGAGGGATCATAAAGCATAGAGCCCACCTCTGACCCTACCCCTCCGTGTCCAGCACCAGGGGACGCCTCCTACAAGGATATGTTACTGGTGGTGGTGCCCATCTCGCTGCTTCTGTTCCTGGTTGGTCTCTTCTTCGCGTGGCACTGTGGCCTCTGCTCAGGTAGGGGTCCTGCTGGTGCAGGAGATGGTGGAGGAGGTGGACCTACTGGGGAGGAGGGTGAAGGCTGGACCTCCCTCTACTTAGGCTTCAGATGACCTGTCCCCCACCTCTTCTGCCTTATTTCTTGGTCTTCTCTACTTCATACTTTGGTCTCCAACCACACTGAGCCACTCAAACGGTCTTCTTAATTTTGTTTTTGGTACCAGGGATTGAACCCAGGGGTCCTCAACTGCTGAGCCAATTCCCAAGCCTTTTATTTCCTGTGTTGAGACAGGGTCTGGCTCATTTGCTTAGGGTCTTACTAAGTTGCTGAGGCTGGCATTGAACGTGCAATCCTCTGGCCTCAGCCTCCCCGAACTGCTGGGATTACAGACATGTGCCACTCCCCTTCTCCATTTGACTAATTCCCACTCAGTCTTCAAGGTAAGGATGTCCAGGAGGACTTCCCTGACCACAACCCTTCAGCCCTACCATCAGGTTGGCTAATATCCTTTCTTTAATCTCCAGCGATTACCCCAATTACATAACTAATTATACTTGTACCCCAACACACTGAATTCTGAGCCCTTTAAAGGCAAAGGCTGGGGTCACCGATGAGGCCTGCCCGGTGCTTCCTAGAACACAAGCAGTATTGGTAAATATTTGTCAAGGGAAAGTATACATGAATCTCAACCCCCTTCTGAAAGAAGACTCTCCCTGGCCAGGAGCTGATAAGGCCACCTTCTTCAGAAAAAGAAGAAATAGAAAACTCTGAGATCAGAACAGTTTCTGGGCTCTATATCCAACTTAGCCTCTGCCTCTGGCCAGGATGCCCTATCCTTGAAAGAACTAGCAATTCTGACCTGGCTTCCTGGCCATTTCTATGCCAGGTGGCCTGAGCTTCCTGGTCACAGGGTCAGCAAAGAAGGAGCACAGAGACCTCATTATGGTGGGTGTCTTCTGGAGCGCCAGAGTATTGGCCCAAGCACTGAGAGCAGGAGCAGGTTATGTGACTGATTCCTGCTTGTCCTTCCCCTGGGGACAGGAAAGGCAGGGGGAGCAGCTGTGGCTGCACTCTGCCTGCAGGCCCTGTCTACTAGGGGGAGGGTCTAGCCCTGGCCCTTTGCCCCGCAAGAGGCCTAAGGATTTATGGAAAGATGGTTGAAACCAAGAGAAGAGCAACTCCCTCTCCCCCAATACTGAGTATTGAACTGGGGAGCACTCTACCACTCTGCTACATCTCCGGCCATTTGAAATTCTACTTTGAAATAGGGTCTCACTAAGTTGCTGAGACAGGCCTTGAATTTGCAATCGTCCTGCCTCAGCTTCCTGAGCTGCTGGGATTACAGGCATATACCACCACACCTAGCAAGAGCAGTTTTTTTAAAAAAAACAGCTTTATTGAGATATAATTCACACAGTGCACAGCTCACTGGCTTTTAGTCTATCCACAGAGTTGTACATTTATCACTACACCAATTTTAAAACATTTCCACTGCCCCAAAAAGAAACCCATAACCCCAATTCCTCCATTCCTCCCACTTTCCCAAGCAACCACTAATTTACTTTCTGTTTCTCTGTATTTTTCTATTCTGAACATTTCATATAAATGGAATCACATTGTGTGGTCCTCTGTGACTGGTTTCTTCACTTAGCCTAATCTTTCAAGGTTCAGAAAAGAGCAACTTTGACTATTGAGAAGGGATAAAGAGGACCCAACCACCTGGGATAGTGGAGAGACTCCACACAGGGAGTTCCGAGGCTGGTCCTAAGTCTACCATGTGGCCTCTGGTCATTTAACCAGGTCCATCCATCACAGCCCTAACTTCCCACGGCTTCTACAGCTAAATACATGGCACAGGTGCACATCAAGATCAGACATTAAGAAGAACGTCCTGTACCTTAAGAGTTTCCTTTTCCATGATTATGGAAGCTAAGGAGAGATGTCCCTTTGCCCAAGGTGACCTTATGACAGAAAACAGAATTCGGAGCCCTGGGGCCAGACCAAGTATGCCAGATTCTAAACATGAGAGGGGTAACTTTCTTTCTGATCTCCTCACCAGGGAAAAAGAAGAGGGACGCCTGTACTGACCGAGTGGCTGCAGAGACAGAGAACCCCCTTGTGTAGAAAGTGCCACGAGAGACAATAAAATCTGACCACTGGGTCATGAGGAAACCCCCTGTCTAAGCACATGATGCTCCCGGGACACAGCTGGTACCTGGAAACCTTCAGGGAACTTCTACCTCCTATGACATTTCTGGAACAGCCTGGGCAGCTGTCACACTGGCAGAACAGAAAGTATTGGCATAAACCTCAACACCTCTCCCTTCTTTCTCCTCACTGTTCATGTCCTGGCTCTCACTGCTGGACAAGACGGGGCTAACAGGATGTTCCCTCAAGAACACCAGGAGGCCGGGAATGGTGGCACACGCCTGTAATCCAACCACTCTGGAGGCTCAGGAGGATTGCCAGTGTGAAGCCAGCCTGGGCAGCTTAGCAAGACCCCGACTCAAGAAGAACGACAATGAAAAAGGCTGAGGATGTGGCTCCGTGGTAGAGCACCCCTGGGTTTAAACCCAATACTACCAGAAAACAACAACGACTCGAGACGTTCTCCAAGATCACAAGATCACTATTCAAGGCACTCACCATTCCCCAAAGAACTGCCTCCAGCTCTGGTCCTAGGCTCTAAAAGACGTTCAACAGGGGCTGGGGTTGTGGCTCAGCGGTAGAGCGCTCGCCTCGCACGTGCAAGGCCCTGGGATCGATCTTCAGCACCACACACAAATAAATAAATGTATAAAATATATATATATAAAAATGTTTTTTTTTTTAAAAAAAGACATTCAGCATTTGAACAGAGAAAATTAATCACACATTACCAGTTCCAGTCTAGCCTCCAGCCCCCATGGTTTGAGGTTCCAATACTTATTATTATTAAAAGAACGGGTTCTCAAATAAGTGAAGGTGAGAGGTAGGGAACAGGGATTTCTCTTTCTGGCCTGAAGAACTTTTAGGTCATCTGAGTTCATGGCCCCTCAAAAATATTTTGCAGTTAAGGTTGACCAAGAATGGTTGGCATGCCATATGGTTGGAATGAAAGCCATTTGACTGGTAACATCTTATTAAGAGACATCCTCACCATCTCCATTGACCCTCATCCCTCTTTCAGGATCTAGGGGAGGAGGGGCAGAGTGTATCATTAAGGTTCTCTCCTCACTCTCTAGCACAGTGACTGAAAATATATACTGAAATATTGAAAAGATATACTGAATTTGCCTCAACCAATAGGAAGTTCTTGCTCAACTTCCACAAAAGCAGCTGAGCTCAGGGTAAGTCTTTCTGCCTGAGACTTGGAGTGAAGATCCAGGAAAAGCTACAGAGAAGGAAAATTATGGAGCGGAGGGGTGCTGAGGCATTTTTAGACTCTACCATTTTCCTTTTCAGATGCAAGTGTAGAAAAGCTACCCAAGTTCAAGGAGAGAGACAAAGATCCCACCATTCAATGGGAGGCTGTCAAGGTCACATTGACATATGGGATAGAAGATGTTATTGTGGCCATTGGATTTTATTCTGAGTCTCACTCAAGTCTTGCTAATAGAAAGGAAGGAGGTGTTGAAAGAATAGACATAGATTTTTGAATATTTACCCAGAGTGGCTTTGATCTCTCCACTAAGATGTCAGTCCTGTCCTAGGACCATCTCTCTTCTCCCTGATGCCTGGGAAGCACTTAACTTTGCACAAATGATCAGTAAAACGGGCTCCCTCCTCCACTCAGCTGTTCCTGGATTTCCTCTTCGTGGATCTTTTTAGAGTCCCCCCTGATTTTCACCTGGATTTACCTAATTCCCATCCATTTCCTGCACCTACTTCTCTCCTATTACCTTCCACCTAAGCCCACTGCACAGTGTACATGCCCCCGGGTTCTGCCCTGGCTTGCCACTCAGAGGCATCCCTCATACCTGATCACTGAATTACGCAAAACTGGCCTGCCCCTAAAAATGATGTAAGAAAAAAAAAAAAGCCTAAGATCTAGCAATGAGCCAAGGTTGGTCCATGGACAAAAAAACACACACCACTCCCCACCTTTCCTCCCTTCATCCGCAGAGTCTCAACTCAGATCAGAGCACTTGTAAATGGGGTGGGGCCCACGGTTCTTCCTCACAGAATGACTCTTAGCAGCCTTGCCTACACAGTGATTTTCCAGTGAACTGCACCGGGGCCTCTTTGAACAGATCCACGCTGCTCGAATAAACTAGTGTTCCCATCCCCAGTGTGACTCACTTGTCAACTAGTAGACTCATTAACCTTCTATTGAAAAAAAAAAAAAAACACAAAGGGTTTCCATGAGACCAATTTTTGTGCTCATAAGCATTGAGATTGATGCTTTAAAAGTGACAGCATCACAAATAGGAATTGAGGGTTCCACACATGATGGGTGCACTTTGAGCACCCGGGGGGGAGTCACACTTGGGAACAAAGAAAAGCCTTTGCCTACAAGGAGTTTATTTTCTATACCATATAAATAAACGAGCAAGTCTGTGTTAGATGTTGGCTTGTTCTGTGAAGAAGAATAAGGCAGAGTAAAAGGCGAGGGAATGATACGCTGGGGACAAAGGGTCCATCTTAGATAAGGTGTCACTTTCTGAAAAGGTGACACCGGAACAGAGAGGCCAGGGAAGTGAAGGAGAGGGCAGAAAGTGCTCCAGACACAACAGAAAATGCAAAGGCCCTAAGTAAGAAAGGTCAGAGTGGCTAGGTTCAAACAAAGCAAAGAGAAGGGACGGGCAAAGGGTCCAGAGAGAGTCTGAGGTCACATCCCATGGGGCCTTGCGGTCTTCAGAACACCCCTTCCTTCGGGTTTGGGTGGCAGAGAGTCCCACTCCCGTCAGTTCAGATGTCAGGCTGCTCCCAGAATGACCTCTTACATCCTTATTTCCATGAGCTGTGTTCAGGGGCACAGGCCTGTAATCCCAGCCGCTCAGAAGGAGGCTGAGGCAGGAGGACCACAAATTCAAGGCCAGCATGGGCCCCTGAGTGAGAAACTGTCTCAAAATAAATAAATAAACAAACAAACCACAAACAATAAAACTGGCTGAGGGAATAGCTCAGTGGTAAGGCACTCCTGGGTTTTATCCCCATTACAAAAAAAAAAAAAAAAATCCTTGTTTCAGCTAGGCTCATGATCAGACCAGAGCCCTCTCCAAACCTGCTTTTCCACTGTGTGGGGGCGGTGGGGGGGCGTGTATTACTGGAGATTGGACCTTGGGGCTCTAAGCTATATTCCCAGCCTCTTTCACTTTTTATTTTCAAACAGATTCTTGGTAAATTGTTCAGTCTGGCCTCAAACTTGCAATCCTCCTAGCTCAGCCTCGAAAATCTCTGGGATTACAGGCCAGTGAACTGCGCCTGGCTTCTTATATTTATTTCACTTTATGTTGTCCGCCTTTGCACCTGTTCTTCTGTGCCAAGGACAAACACAAGCGCTGATAGGGCAAAGGGGTCATGTGACTTGGTAGTGGCGAGAAGGGGGAAGGCCACGGTAAAGGCGTTGCCGAGAACATTTTTTTCATTAATGAAGATATGAACACCCAGTGCTTTTTTAAAAAAGGAGAGTGGGGAGAGAGAAGGACAACAGCTGCAAACATTAATGCCGTCTCTGGGGAATCTTCCGTGTTTATGAAGAAGTAGAAATACCTGTTCTGTCAATTGGTTCTTGGTTACTTTCTGATCTCTCAGAGAAGCACCACCTACTTCCAGATTTGTCTCCATGGCTCCCTGCACCTGCTCTGCTTGCAGCCTGAAGGAACAGCCTATAAAACTACCAAATATGACTATCCCTAGATCCAGGAAGCACAGCGAACCTGGGTCCTGCTCTGGGGATCACCCTTTCAGGGAACACTGGAAAACTTAAGTGTGCATTACAGGGTGATCGTAATGGCGACACATTCAGAAGTTTTATCATATGAGAAATTATTGAAGAAACTGGTCATGTTTAACCTGGAGCAAAAAATTCAGAGGGGCATGCGTGCTCAAATATTTGAAGAGCTATCACATAAGCCCAGACTGTGTAACTGAGTCCAATGGAGCATATCACTAAGAGGCAGATATTGACTCATATAAATAATAGGATATTAAAACTGAAAACTGGAAAGAATCTGTGGTTGTTCAATTCAAGTGGGGGTTTTTTGTTGTTTTTGGTTTGGGGTTTGGCTTTTTTTTTTTTTTTTAGTATTTGGCACTGAGGGTGCTACACCACTAAGCCACTTCTCCAGCCCTTTTTATTTATTTTTTTTATTTTGAGACAGGGTCTTGCTAACTTTCCCAATATAATGGTCTTGAACTTGTGATCTTCCTGCCTCAACCTCCCAAATCTCTGGAATTATAGGTATGTGCCACCAAAAAAAAAAAAAAAAAAAAAAAAGCTAAGTTGTTTGTTTGTTTGCTTTCATTTCTTAGGTAGAAAACTGAGGCCCAAAGAGATTGCCACACCCCTAAAATTACATAATTAGTCAGTGGGAAAATTCAGAATTAGCTTTAGTTTATCTCAATCAATCCAGCCTCTCACACTGTACCATACTACCAGAGAAGAACTTTCTAGCAAATGAAGTCAACCAAATATACAATTTCAATGAATGTTATACAATTTCAATAAATGTACCTAATTCATTCCGCTGTTTCATAAACATGCTTAAGGAAAAACCATCTCAGAGCAAGATCCTAGACTGGAGACTTTTCAAACTAGGTAGGAAGTTGCATTAGGAATGACAAATACACAGCACATATATCCAGACTTTGGCTTTTCCAGGGCTATGTCAGATGCAACTAATTAATTATGACACACTTTTCCCACTGAGCCCAGATGTAACCCTCAAGTTACCCCTACCAACCAATTAAAGTTAGGAACCGAGATGAAAGCTATTAGCCATTCCTGCCCCAGATAATTCTTAAGATCCTTCCATTATTAAGAATGAATTATAAATTAAAGAATAAATGAACAGCCAGGCACTCGGGTACACACCTTTAATCCCAGCCACACAGGAGACAGAGGCAAGAGGATCACAAGTTCAAGGCCAGCCTGGGAAATTTAGGGAGATCCTCTTTCAAATTAGAATAATGAAAACGGTTGGAGATGTAGCTCAGTGGTCAAGCGCCCCTTGGTTTCAACCCCCAGTACCAGAAGAAGGAGAAGGAGAATAAGAGTGGGGAAACATTTGTATCAGTCAAGCTTCTTTAACAGAAATCAACTCTAGTCTTAACTAAAGTAAATAAAAAATTCACTAGAAAGTTGTGGGTAGCTCAGAGACCCAAAGAAAATGCTGACCAATCAGGTCACAGAAAGGACAAAGCCAGAGACCTTGGGGATGCAGACCCTGGGGACTGAGTGGAAATATTCTTTTCAGTTTTCTGTTCCCTGGTTACTCAGAGAAAATTCCGTTGCCAACAGTGAAGCTCGACTGGACTAGCTGGGACCACGGACTCTTTTTTTTGGGGTGGGGAGGGTGGCGGGAATAGGGTAGAATTATAGGACATGTTGTCAGAGGCAGCCGTTGGTTCAATAAAATAAAATACCAAGCCTAGCAGGTGGTGTGTGCCTGTGATCCCAGCTACTTGGGAGGCTGAAGCAGAGGACTGTAAGTTCAAGGCCAGCCTGGGCAACTTAGGGGGACCCTGTCTCCAAATAAAATTTAAAATGGTTGGGGGATTGTAGCATAGTGGTAGAGGCCCTCTGGATTTAATTCCAGTACCCTCCAAAAATAAAATAATGAAATATC